CCTCGAATGTTCTATGGAGAGCGGAATAGAAATTGGGCGGAATGGAATAATCTTCTTACCTACACTGCTGCACAAATGTTGGTTTTGTTGCCACCCATAACCGTATTTTTGAACTTTATCCATGTAAAACAAGTGTCGTACTGGACTGGTCACAGTCCATCATGATCATACTGACCAATTTTTAAAATGGTTGACGTGAATTATCATGAACTGAAGCGTTCCAACAATCTTGATTAAAGTCAGACGGTTTTCCTAAACCTGCAGAATCGTTCATGTCAAAATGGATTGGAAACGAAAAAACTAATTTCGTGGTGTCATGTCATTTATGTAGAATCTACATAAGTGGTTCCCAACTTTTGAGAGATGGTGGACCACCAAAGCAAAACTTGTCTCTTCAGGGACCGTGTGTTATAATTATAAAAACACAATTTCGTATAAAACTTTTATTGTGAAACAGAACAGAACAGAAAAGTTGTGGAAATTGTCGCCAGATATCTTAAAGCAGTTTCACGCAGGGTCGAATATGAAAAAGCTTTGTTGCACCCAAACTCCTTCAGAGTTATATCAGAACTAAAGGTGTCTTTGCAAGTGCCATCATTCTGCGTTTGTAAATCTACTCGATATTTATCCATCCACTTTTTGCATAGCGTTTCAATCGACGCTCCAGCTTATATGATATATCGCGGATAACCTGAAAGATGGATATGGACCTGAATGTAGACTATGCCGTGAGAAAATTACATAAAAACATGAATACAACGAATACATTAACTTCTGAAACAATATAGACAACAATATGTAGACTAAAGTCATTCATTCATTGGTATTTCATCCAAAGATACCCTTTGAAGATGTAATTTTACTAATATGTATGTAGCTTCATTTCGAAATAAGTTCATGTAATGATGTAATTTTTTCATTAGAAAATATTCCAATCGCTAAATAAAGTAGTATACTTTAAGGCACTAAGTGTCTAATTAGTCAAAGAATTAGCTCAATAGAAACAATGGTCTAAATTAATATCAGACATAACTCGTCTGTCATACAGAAATTATACGCAATTGTTAAGGATTTTTGAGGTTGATATTATCCAAATTCTTTCAAAAGTCCAGAAAGTATTTATTGAATCTATTTTTATCCAATCCCCTTCAAAGTAGCCCTCTGTGATAGTGTACACGTCTTGCCAACGTAGTATTCCATTTTCAAAAACACTGGTGGAACGCCTTCTTAGGTATCATCTTGAACACAGTTTCCAATTTTGCCTTTGTCTCATCTATTATTGTACGTTATCGTGGTGCAAAATCCACGAGTTGTGTTTCTGTCGTTTTCTCCTGATTGCTTCAGGCAAATTGCGCAGTACTTGTAGGTAGTACTCCTTCTTAACTGTACGACCAGGGAGTAAAAATTCGCGATGAAGTATTCCATTGTAGTCTAAGACTCGCCTCATCTTCGATATCTTCTTGGCCTTCCTGAAAACAGTTGTACCACTGATAATCTCGTGCTTGTGACATAGTATCATCGTCAAATACCTTTTTTCCTTTTGTAACATACAATTTCAAACTCTCTAATCTGATATTTCGTCATACAAAAAATCGCCGAAAACACAGTCTTACTCGTTCGTTCGTTAAACACAAACTAAGCGAACTGCTAAAAAGATAGGCAAGATACAATACCCGCAATTTGAAAATTTCCTTTAGTTTTTGATCAAATCGCGTACACATAGGGAAATAATCAACTATGACTTTATTATTACTTTACTTTAGCTACGACTGTATACAATTTTTTGTAATTTAGGTATTTTAAGAAATGTATTCTGGGTGACAGAGCTACTCCTATAATTTTGGTTAATATTAACGATACAATATTGAATTTGTCTAAAATAGGCAACAAATAGTTTCATAAGCAATTATATTTGTTTTACTTATTTCTGTTCAAACTTGCATTTAAATCATTTCTATATTATATTTTAATTAAAATTTATGTCATCGGGGGCAATTTTCTTTTGAGGAGTTATCTATCAAAATGCAGTATTTGATCAAAACCAGTTGTTAAGCAAATTGTGAATGTTTGCCTTAAAGTTACTCATCTTACTATTTTATTTTTGCAGGTTCCGATATGTAGCCTTGGATGTGTAATCAATTAGGCACCAAAATTGGAAAATCAGATTTGTAACACTTTTATGTAACAGTAAAAACAAAAAATTAAAACTGCGTTTTGAATGTTACTTATCATAAAACTGCATTTTGAAAGAAATTATGAAAACAACTGCAAGATGAAACATTTGAATACTATTTTATTTTGTAAACCTCCTTGTTTAGGAAAGCTGAAACTTAACTTGCACAACACAACAAAAACTTTAAATAATCTAAAGAAAAACAATATTCTGTCACAAAAAATATTAACAATTTTTTGTTAACATCAAAATCACAATCGCAGACAGTCAATAGATAATATATGATACTAGGCCTTGTATTCCTTAAAATATGAGCTCTAAAGGTTCAACCAGTGGTGGACAACTGGACAGGGTCACCCCCCTTTTTTATAAAAAAACCCTACGCCACTGTATTTTTACAAGCTGTTGTAACGGATTTATATTATAATGCACAAAATACATAAAAAGGTAACTTGAATTTTTTCCCTAAAGTTCACCGTTCTCAAGTTATTCATATCAATACAATCCCCTTGTGGCAGACACTTCTAACCATAATATTACAAGAATATTTATGTTTATGCTTAAAATCAAGTGCAATTTGTAATCACATCAACATCTTTACACTCGTCGCTTTCATCTTTTTGGATTAAAACGATTTGGAAAATCCGATGACGCAATGAAAGGCACAGAAATTAAATTTTAAGAGCATTTGACGACGATCTTCGGCTAAGTACACGAAGAATGTCTCGGCAACTTGGGGTGAGTAAATCGAAAATTTGAAAAGTTATACATAACATGGTAGAAATCCGTATCATTTACAACTTGTGCAAAATTTACTTCCGGGAGATGCAGAGAGACGCCTGAATTTTTTTTTAGTGGTTGTTAAAGTCACAACATAATCCAGAATTTTTACTAGAAATACTTTGGACCAATGAGGCTACGTTCACAAGGCGAGGAGTAGTGACTCTTCACAATATTTGGTCACAATAAAATCCTCATGAAATTCGGACAATATCTTTTCAACACGAATTTTCTGTGAAAGTGTGATTCGGAATAATTTGGACCTTTCTTCGGGCCACCGGATCCCATCTAAATTCCCAGTCATTTCTAAATTTTCTAGAAAAACATCTATTTGAATTATCACAGGATGTTCCATTAAATATACCACAAAATAACTGGATATAAATGGATGCTCCTGCGAATTTTATGAGAATAATACAAGAATGGCTTAATGAAAATTATATGAGGCGATGGATAGGTTGAAGACCAAATGCCAATGTCAATCATAATGGTGCAGTGTCTTGGCCCAGCCAGATTGCCAAATCTAAATTCTACTTCAATAGATACAAGATCACAACTACTGTAGAGAACAGAAGACGGGTGTAATGAATTAAATGAAAACCACCGCATAATATTAGCTTCAATTAGGTAGTTCCATTAATAGAAGATGTCAGAAATGTATGGATGTGGATGGCTCGCATTTTGAACAATTGTTGTAAATACGTAACGTTTATTTTGCTTTTTTGTTTAGTTTTTGTTACTTGGTAAATGTATTTTTATTATTATTTTGATTCAAATTGTTCTTCTTTGTAAAGATGGTGGATTAGGCCTCCAGGGGAAACTAAAACACGCTAGGAACACTGACCTGCTTACAAATTGCACTTACTTTAAAGCATAAACATAAATATTCTTGTAATATAATGGCTTGAAGTGTCTGCGACAAGGGGATTGTATTTGCATGAATAACTTGAGAACGGTGAATCTTAGGGAAAAAATTCACGTTACCTTTTTTACGTATTTAGTGCATTAGAATATAAATATGTTACAATAACTTGCAAAAAATATAGTGGCGTAGGTTTTTTTTATAAAAAGAGGGTGGCCCCTGTCCAGTTGTACACCACTGGTTGAACCTTTATAGTTCATATTTTAGGGTATGCAAGGCCTACTGTCATACATTATCTGTACCAAATTTCATTGAGATAGGTTAGTAGATTCCGGAGATATAAACAAAAATTCATTTTTTTTTACAACTTCAACACCCTGTATCTCTAAAACGATGCCGTTCTAGATCTATGTTTATAAGGCAAACACCTACTATTTTAAAGAGATCTATCTACCCTCGAAGTTTCCTGCATAAAATTCGGACCACCCTGTATAGGTGTAACTTTAGAAAGTTAAGTGCACAATAACCCTTAGTCCAACTCTGCCTTCGTTAATGTAGGGGTAGTAGGTATAAGAATTTCAGTAACACAAGAGCTGTAAATCGATCTCCGTGTTTACTATCACGGACCTAAACAGAGATGGTGCGAAATCAATGAATTAAATATAGTGTTGGTGCGCGACCGTGTCGTACAGCATCAGACGTTAAAATTAATCTTATCAGAAAATCGCGAAATCACCAAACATACATGTCTTAAGCATTCCAAGTATCAACTGATTAAATGTGATGTGCTAAAAGTTACCTTCATTTAAATAACCGAAAACTGTAAACCAAGTAACTAATATAAACGAAATACCAAGTTTTCGTGGAAAACGTGCTATAACCGCGGAAATTTAAAATGTGTTAAATCAATTTTAATGAAATATACATTGCTAAAAATAAAGTAGCATCCTCGAAACTAGTATAGTTACCGAAATTATTTATGTACATTTTTATTTCCGATATATTTACGGTCTTAATACATATAAGTATATGTTTAGTGTGTAGAGAGTAATAAATATTTCACTTTCATAAAAATTGTCATTATTGAAAATTGCTGATAAGATTAGTCAATTAAATCTATTATTGTTTTATCGCTTTATCGAGATAAGACAAAAAACATCCTTTGGTTTTCGTAATTCACAGTAGTTCGACATGGCAATGTGTGCGCTCAGGTTTTTTATAGTTTTACTGTTCAAAGTAGTAATTTTCACGCAACTGACATTCGTAAGTACCATACTTATTATATCTATGACTTTTTGCCTACATTTTAAACAGCACCTTAATGAGAAATATTAATAAACACTTGGAAACATGTTGCAACAAATCTGCAACGCACAAAGTCGTCACCTAAAATTTATCACATTTCACTTTACATTAGTTAATTAGATATCGTCGGTATTTAAATCATGTTCTAGAATAATTTTTCATGATTACGAGTATGTGGCTCATTATTATTTTATCACTATCTCTTCGAATTCTGTATAATCAAAAACCTCTCAATAAAATACTGTACATATACAGGCTTACAAGTTTTTAATTGTCGAATCTTCTTCTTTCAATGAATTATCATTACTTATGATCCAGATACTTGGCCGCCGAGATGTCCTAATTTGACCATCATGAACTTTTTCTTTTATGATTATGTTAAGGATCAGCTATCACAAGGTGATACGACAATGAGGAAGAATTCAAAATAAATATTTCAAGAGTGATAAACTCAATACCTTCTGACATCATTCAATCTGCTACTCAGAGCATTTATAAACGAGTGCAGAAGTGTATTAATAGTAGTGGTGTTAGTGGTATGTACTTCGAGTAATTTATGATAAAATTTTGTTTTGCTTTATCTATCTTGTTTCGTTTCTTGCTCTTGTTATTGTTATTTAAATAAAGGTTGCTGTATTAAAAAGTATTGGAAATAAGAAATATTAAATTAATTTGTAGAAAAAATTCAAATGTTTCACATGGCTCTTGACTTTTTATTAAAATTATATCCTCGTTATTTATTTACGAAAAACCTACGAATTATATACATCGTTATTAAAAGAAAATTTCTCGTTCCACCTAATGAGGCAAAAATTCCATATGTCGTCCACAACAAAAACAAAAGTTATTGTTGACAGCAAATATCGATTCCTCTCATCATTTAATATCAGACTACACATTTTTGCCCTAAAATTTTGAAAAACAAGTGAAATACGACTAAAACAAGAAATAGCATAACATCGGTTTCCTCGAATATCCTCGGAACTATTCGGAATTTTTCAAAATTAAAAACGAATCTGTGATCGGCGTAAAATTCTGTACATTTTTGCTCAGTTAACCATTCTTCATAACTTAAAATAATAAAGATACCTGTATTGGACAATTATAAAGTTATACAAGGTGTCCCGAAATTAATGTAACAAAGTTCGATCACAGATTCTTAAGACAAATTTAGGGGACCCGTATTTTTTATTTCTGTCAAGTGGCCCCCCCTTTCGGAGTTACAGCCCCCTGAAATCCGCACCTAAGAATAATCTTTTTTTCAGAACTCTGTTGTACGAGAATCACTAAATTTGATATATAGTGGTTTTATGACATGTGGAATTGTTGGTACTACGCTTTTTGGCGGGGAACCCCCTGAAGACAATTTTTCGTGAACCAAAATAATTTAATCGCATATTTAAATTTCTTAATAATTTATTAGTCAACTAGAAGGCCATTAAATTCAGAAATTTTTTTGTTGCGTGATATTTTTTTCGTATTTTTGATAAAATGTCAAAATGTGATCGAATACATATCGTGATTAGCCATTTTCTTTAAAAACCAAAAAAATATCAAGAGACAAAAAAGTTTCTAAATTCAATGGCTTTCTAGAAATTCAAATTTGCGACAAATTTTTTTTGGTCCCAAAGACAAGGGGGCCCGCGTAAAAGTATCTTAAGGGGGCACTCCGCCAAAAAGCATAGCACTATCAGATTTCACATGTCATAAAACCCCTATATACAAAATTTAGTGGATCTCGTTCAACAGGGTTCTGAGATATAAAAAAGACTATTCTTTAGACAATTCTTAGGGGCAAATTTCAGGGGGGCCGAACTCCAAAAGAGGGAGCCACTTGGCAAAAAGAAAACTTTTCGGACACCCTGTATATATAGACAGCAGAAGAATAATAAATCGCGGCTGCAGTATCTAAACTTTAATCAGCAATTCATGATGAAATTGAAGTCTCTAGTAATTGAAAACAGTTAATCAGGAATATCGGTCATTTAGTGCAGTTAAGAAATTTAGATCAATTTATTTTAATGTCTTGCTTGAGGACATAATTTAAACAAAATACAGCTAAGTAAGTAAAGAAAAATTAATATAATGATTTTCGTCCCTTTTGATACAAATTATTTTGAAAATATGAGCAAACAGAATATATTCCTGTTATGTATTTATATAGAGATTTTAAACAAGTTAATATTGTGCTCAGCACATTTAAACTGTCCTGCATTTCAAAAATTTTACTCTTAATAAAATATTCTTATATGGTATTACAAATATTCGGTGTAGCGCATCCAAAAGGGAAATACCATAGATGAATATATTTCAAAAATATTTCCTACCAAAATCAGAAATTGACTTGAATTTATTTTAATTCCATTTAAAAAGGCGTGAAAAAGTAAGGTGAACTTTTTGTGGCCCGCACTGTATTATGATGTATATCAGCTTAGTTGTAATGTTTTATCATTTGCAAATAAAAATATTTTAGTGTTGATATTTTAAGGTATTTATCCTACTTGAAAATTATTATTGTTCAAATGCATTCCATAAATTACCTACAGTTTCCCGACGGACGACAACTTTTAACCTAGTTTTCTATCTCACGTTCGCCAACAATTCACTAACATTTACGCAACTGTTGAACAACAATGTTTGCTTAGTCTGTATCCACCTTTAGCCGGACCAAACTAAAATAGAGATTTATCTAGCTACTATTTCAATTTTGTATCTGTCACTGATTTGCTGCTATTATATTCTAATCTAATCATCAGCTGGCGAATATCAGCATTCCATCTTATTTTGCTGAAGTTTGGATGCCACAAATTCTAACTGTAAAAAAGTAGTTAAAGACTTCCGGTATTTGCTACGTAAAAGTGATCTGTTATTTGTATATTAAAGCGTATAGGTATTAATCTTATTCTTTATTAACTTTTATCTAAGTAAATTCATTGTACATTAAAATATAATCCTGGATTTGTTATTGATATCGGACAGATATCTTAAGCGACTCATTTTGTCATGCTCGACTTTTTAAAGAAAATTCTGTATTACGCTTTCTCATACCTGTAGCCGAATTTCGTTGATAACTCTCCGAATTTCTGCATTTATTCATGAATAGCATTCATTTGAGCAGGATAAACTTTGGACCATACGAATCCTCACAGGAAAAAGTCGCATGGCGGAAGATCGCATAATCTCGGTGGTCATGTCACTTTACTGTTACGTAAGATGAGTCGTCCATTAAATTTCAGCCATAACCACATCCCATCCAAATCCATGCCATCTAAATGAGGCTTCAAAAAGTTCAATAGCATTTGTCGATATCTTTCTCCAATGACAGTCACTGCGTTTCGAGCCTCATTTTCAGAAAAAAAAAAACGAATCAATCACCCCCCAGGGTAAAATCCATACCACACTATCTATCATCCTTTGGGTCCACAGTGATCGTTCTTGAATGACTCTAGGATTGTCTCTGCTCCAAATTTGACACTTGTACCTGTTCAAATACCCACTAAGATTTTCTTAGGAAAATCATCGTCCACTTTTCCAACATCCAATCAACGACTGCCAGGCGCATTAAATGGTTGGTTTCAATTTCTGGGTTAGCTGAATCTTCAATGTGTGCTTTTTGAAATATTTATTGCAGTGACCGATGACGCCCTGAAGTTACGGAAATTTCCGCCTCACTATCATACACAGTAGCAATATTAATCTGTTTATTCAAATTTGGCAACTATTCTTTTCACAGTTGTTTTGAGGTCATTTGAGGCGTTCCTTCTACCGAAAATTCCACGTAATTTCTACACAATCTCAACTACACACTCTCCGTACTTGTAATAAATTTTTACAATCTTCACTCGCTCAACCGTCATATAGCGCTCCATTTTGTGTAACCGCAACGTGTTTACTACAACATGTGATTCTGCACAATGCTACCAATTCTTCAGAATGGAAATGGTGCACAATTTAATTCGTGTTTGAGTATTTTCAACGAGATGATTATTCTGCCTTTCTTATGGTATTATGTATACTTAAACCTCTAAGTTCTTCTACCTTCTATCATTTTACACAAACTTAAAAGCGTGGTTGTTGGCTTCTAAAATTATGATAAATCATATCTTCTGTATATAATTTAGTATTTGTAGTAATAATAATTGTTAACTTTTATAAAACAATTGAAAATGCCTTTATTAATAGAAACAATAAATTTAATTCAGTTTATTCAGAAATCCTATTGACCTCTACAATTGCGGTTTCATCATTAAAATTAACCGAATAGTATTGTTTTCCTACTGTGGTAAAGGATCTCAATAGAACATTTTAGTCAAGTACAGTCCACTTGGGACATATACAGGGTGGTCCGAATTTTATGCAGGAAACTTCGAGGGCAGATAGATCTCTTTAAAATAATATGTGTTTGCCTTATAAACATTGGTCTGGAACAGCCCCGTTTTAGAGATACGGGGTATTGAAGTTGTTAAAAAAATGATTTTTTGTTTATATCTCCGGAATCTATTAACCGATCTCAATAAAATTTGGTACAGATAATGTATGATAGTAGACCTTACATTCCCTAAAATGTGAGCTTTAAAGGTTCAACCAGTGGTGTACAACTGGACAGGGGTCACCCCTTTTTTACAAAAAAACCTACACTACTGCATTTTTTACTAGTCATTGTAACAGATTTATATTCTAATGCACAAAATACATAAAAAAAATTACTTTAATTTTTTTCCCTAAGATTCGCCGTTTTCA